GTAGGAAATATCCCACTCAAGATAAGAGAAAGCTAATCGAGCCACAATGGACATGAAGATCTCGGGATCCACTTATGAATATCTCAAACAAATTTCGAAACTAAAAGAAGAAAGGAAATCAACTTTAAAAGGAAGAAAGATTGAAGAATCCTTGTCTTAAGGAGATCATGTACATATATATACAAATACTCATTTTAAGGTTGCTACAATTGTCGGAGATAATTATAAATGAAGACTTCTTTGAGTGTTTGTGAGATTTTGTTTATTTAGTTTTTATTGTGAACAATTTTTCAGTGTTCTTACACCACTGAAAAATTATGTTTTGTTTTCTATTTTTACAATCATTTTTCGTACTTAAGGATTAAGTACTTGTATAATTTGGAGGGATCCCTAGTTAGTTTGAAGTCCAACATTAGTAGCCAGAGGATTAGTTAATAGGTTTGGGTATAGTGTTAGCTAAACTAGAAGGTGTTCGAGTCTTGTAATTTCAAGCTGTACTTTGTGCGCATAAATCGAGCTATTAATGAAAGAGCTTTGAGGAGGTAGCGGGACACTCCACGATGACATTTGTACTCCCCGCATACTTTTCAATTGGCACCTGAGCACTGTTTTTGTTCTAATCACGAGATAAAGATACAAGGTCCTTTGGGTTGGGAACCATAAACCACGACGGCTTGTCTATTTTGCGTCCTCCTTACCATGATGGATCCAACTACTCATATTGGAAATCCAAGATGACAATCTTCTTGCAATATTTAAGATGAAGAATTTGGATAATTATTGAAATCAGATTGACCTTGCCTATGATGGTGAAATATCTTCCTAAAAAGAAGGAATCCTGTTCAACCAATGTAGCCTTTCTCAAGATGGTTGAAAAGCCAAGAGAGCTCTGGGCTGAAAATGAAAAGCAAGGAGAAAAAGCTAATTTTTGTGCTCTCTATGCAATAATGTCATCGGTAGATCCTACTTGTCACAAGATGATTATTCAGTGTTCCACCACACGTGATGCTGGAAAATTCTCTAGAGGTAGTTCGAAGGGAACAATGCCATGAAATCCTTTAAACTACAAAGAATTACAACGGAACTTGATGAAATTAGGATGAAGGAAGATGATACAATGGATATATAATATGCTTGCTTCTATGAACTCGTAAACCAAAGCGCTATGCTTGGCCTTTGATTGTTCGGGAGACATGGCCAAAGCCCAGTAATTGCCAATTCTTATAGGCTCAGCTCAATAGGCTGCTAAATCTGCATTTATGTTCATTTATGAAGTTGAACTGATTCAAATTAGAAGGTAAGAGGAGAGAGTTTTTATATCATGTCTAGATGATCACTACTGACAGTGACATCAGAGTTGATGACAAGGAAAAACATGTAATGTAAAAGTCTTTCAAGATGTGGAGAGCGAAGTGAGACTCCCCAAACGAAGAGAGGCGAAGCGAAGTCATAAAAGAGAGTAGAGCAAAGTGAGTCTAGACTGAAAGGAGAGGAAAAAGGCACGTGTCAGCAGGCATACCGCCCGAGATTAAGGGTTCATTCGCGAATGGAGTTAGGCCTATTTTCTAGCGAAGGGCAGTAAAGTCATAAGTAGTCATAGAGAAAGGGAGAGGGGAGCGAAGTTAAGGTCAATTACGTTGAGCCTTTGATTATTAAGCTCCAAGGCCAATCGACACGAACCGGTAGCGGAAGTTGCTTTGGCGTGTCGAAGAAAATCATATTCCCTCGTATGCACCATACATATAAAAAGGAAGCGACAAAGGAGGCTCAAAGTAGCCTAGCTTCGGTAGTGACCCCTCATAAGGGCTTAAGTTGTATTCGCTCGAACAACTGAGCTAGGTGGAAGTCTTTGTCTTGATCCGTATAGAACGACGGGAACCTTTTTTATTCTTGCGCGATCTATCTTGACTCAAGGAAGTGACTTTTGCAAATGTCTTCTCATGAGATCTCTTTGTTTGGTGAAGAGGTCTGGCAAGCTAAGTGCAAAAACACATGAGAATTCTTCCAAAAAGGTTACATGAGAAAATCGTTGCATTAGAAAGATTTATACAAATTCAACCTCTGGGGATAGATGATCTACTTGGAGATTTGCGCACTTTTGAGATCAATTATGGTTTTGATAATGTAAAGAGAAAAGACATCGCCTAAAAAGTGCGCTCATTGGAGCGTTCGTAAGCGGATTGAAGCCATATCTCACGACTGAAATCCATCTTGAGAAGTCGATAACGATGTGGCATGCCATGGAGGCGGCGCGCATGTGAGTCGACCACTTAGCCGATGTGCCTAGAGTGGCGCGTGAGAACTCACGTTCTTTGGAGCCACGCTGAATCGCACCAGTCGCGTCCCCGTCAACCGAAGAGTAAGCTGGTTACCGTCGATCACTCCTAGAAACGCCCCACCAGGGGTTAAAAAGATTACCTATGAGGAGATGAAACGTCGGTGCTAGAAGGGACTCTGGTTCAACTGCGACGAAATATTCATGCCAGGCCATAGATCCAAGCAGGTGCTCATGATCGAGCAGGTCGATTCTGACGACGAGGAGCCAGAGGGCAACAAGGCTAAACCTGAGATCGAGGTACATGAGTCTGACCTGGTTATTTCAGTACATGCTAAGGCCGGTACCAAAGGGCCGAGGACAATGAGGTTGCCAGAGTGGGAGCAAGACTGGCGTATAGTTGTGCTGGTCGACAACGGGTCATTGGAGAATTACATAAACGCCTCCCTGTCCCGAAAGCTAAGACCACCCATGGCCAAGGTTGAACCATTCGACATGTGTGCCCAACGACGAGTAGTTGAGGTGCTCGAAATACTTCTGAGGAGTGCGGATTAAGATGGAAGGAGTAACCGTGAGTGCCAACCTATATGCACTACTCTTAGTCGGACCAGAGTGGTTCACAGAAAGTCAAACGGTAAATGGTTATTTTTCGGTTCGGAGTGATTTCGATTCGGTTTCAGGACGGTTTGAAATCCTTCGAGTCTCGTGCTCAGCCATAGCTGATAATGAGGCCGGCTGGTTGGAGGAATCGCCATCTTTCTTCTTGATTTTTATGACTATGAGAATGTTGAGTGGACTGGCCTTGAGATGACGTCATAAATATTTTAGGTAACATCAACATCTAATGTTTGAGATTTCCAACTGTAATAGACGTAGACCCAAGCACACAACTCGCCATACTTTATAGTATGATTCTTGATTGGCCCATTTTAATATCTAGGTGTCTGCGATCTCAATAATTGAATCGAGCTATATCCAATTTAAAAGACATTATTGGCTAATGGTTACTGTTTAATTAGATGAAAACATGAAATTCTCAAGAATACCATGCTCGCCATAATTGAACTGAGCTATTCCGTTAATAAGAAAGAAGAAATATGTAATAACTTGTCGAGAAAACCATGGTCTACGAGGAAAACTATTCTAAGTTAGTCATATTTTTCCATTTGCCCGTTCATAAAATGTAACCAGACATTGGAAATTCTACGGTCCCGTTACGGAACCATTCCGTCGGGATTTATAACCGTTAGATCATCTATCCACGTCGGGATTTGTAACCGTCGTGGATAGCTGATCTAACGGTTACAAACCCCAACGAAATGGTTCCATAACGGGAATGTAGCATTTCTCCTAATCAAGTTGTACAGAAGTGTACAATAAGACAAACTGCAGTTACAATCACCAAACGGTATCATTCTATACATGACAAACTTACAACTTCACTGCACAAATTACAACAATACAACAATGAAAAATTTTCTCCCTAAAATGACAAATTTTATTGGCTAAAAAACTACTATAAAATATGCTATTCCATCACCCAAGCGAACTCGGGCACACGAAATACCGAAATCGCTGAACTTCCGAATTAAGATTGTCGAAGCGTAAATTTCTCCGTTCTCCACCCAACTCCTTACTTAACCCGGTCATCTTTAGTAACAAGAATGCTAACAAATTGGGAAGGGTCAGCCTTCTCGAGCATATGGACCGCGGTTCTCATGGTGGGCCTTAAAGTCGGTAGGGTGGCCGTGCAGCGGATGGCCACTTTCAAAACCTCGATGGCACTTCCCCTGTGAATCTCTTCAATGGCTGGGTCCACCAAGCTCACTATACTCTCTTTGGTTTCCAGATTGCGACAAACCCAGTCGACTATGTCTTTGTTCTCCCCAAACTCGGCTTCCATTGGCCTTTTTCCAGTCACAAGCTCCATTAGCACGACCCCAAAGCTGTAAACATCGCTCTTTTCATTCACCTTATTCGTATATGCATACTCTGCAAAAACACAACCAGAAAGAAATAAAAAACATGAGATGACTTTCGTCTTTCTTAAACACATTTTTAGATACAATTGCTCAGATGTGCTGAGAATTTATCTTCCAACCCAACCTAAGCACACTTTACCAGCCCTGCTTGAAATTGAAGATTTCTATATTGCTAACTAAACCAACCAACTCAAAGTCACCACAAGGAAAAGTAGTAAACATGACCCAAAAAGTAACTTCCATACCTGGGGCAATATACCCATGTGTACCAGCAACTACGTAACTCGATTCCTTATTCGGATTCCCCTGAACTATCCTCGCAAGCCCAAAATCCGCAATCCTGGGCTTCAAATACTCGTCCAACAGAATATTGCTAGACTTCACATCACGGTGTATCACGGGCCGATCACAACCATGATGCAAATACTCCAAGCCCTTGGCTGCCCCAACAGCAATCTCGTACCTCATCTCCCAATCGAGCCCCAATTTATTACAGTTATGCAACCGATCCCACAAACTCCCGTTCGCCATATACTCATACACCAATAAGCTCGAGTAGTCGCTGCTTATGCTGCAGTACAACTTCACCACATTGATGTGCCTTATCGAGCTCAACGCCTGGACCTCGGCCTCAAACTCCCGGGACTTCTCGGGCCCACATCTCCCCAAGATTTGGGTCGAGCCCCCCATTTTTCCTGGGCAGCCCGAGTGCCAGATGTGCTTCACGGCGAATTCTTTTCCGTTCCCCACAGTTACTCGGTACACGTTTCCCGACCCACCTTTGCCTATCAGATTTTCTGGTCTAATGGAGTCAAGAATCTCGTCCTCCGTGAAAGTCAACATCCGGAAGGACTTGAGGTACCAAGAATCGTTCTTCAGAGACCATCCACTGCCCAAATCTTCTTCCTTTCTCCTCGTGTAGCAGAAGCCCGCGAGTGCAGCAAGCAGGACAACACAGGCCAGAAGGAGGCCGAGCATGAGTGTTCGGACCTGGGGCCCGACAGATTTGTTGGAGCACGGCCTGAAGCCTGTGATGATGCTCTGCCTGCTGCAGAGGCCATTGTTGCCTGAGAAGCTACCGTTGTTTTCTTCGGACAGAAGGGAGACCGGTATTGGGCCAGACAGATGGTTCACGGATAGGTCAAGCAGGTTCAGCCTCAAATTGGCCAGTGCCCCCGGGATGGGGCCCGAGAGCCCGTTCCTTGAGAGGTTCAAGAAATTGAGGGCTGGGAGGTTGCCGAGGGAGCCCGGGATGGGTCCTGACAGCTCATTGCAGGCAATGTTGATGTCGTTAATCGAGCGGCAGGAGCCTAACGAGTTCGGTATTAGGCCTGAGAAGTTGTTCACCTGCAGTTGGAGGCTAGTGAGCTGCTTTAGGTCGGCAATCGTGTCTGGTACAGGGCCCGAGAAATGGTTGTTGCTCAAGTCTATAGAAACTAAGGAGGAGGCTTGCGAAATTTCATGCGGCAATTCGCCCGAGAGTCTGTTGTTAGCCACAAAAAGCTGTGCCAGAGACTTGGCGTTTTTTATATTTGAAGTAATCGAGCCTTCCAAGTCATTACCGGCCACGTCTATTATCTCAGCATTGGGCAAGCCCCAAATTCCGTCAGGGACCTGACCGGAAAGACTGTTATCGTTGACTCGAAACCGGAGCAAGGTCGTGCAGTTGGCGTAGCTGCTCGGGATTTCGCCAGTCAAGTTGTTCTGCAGCACGAGGAGTTTCTTCATAGTGCCCCTCCTGCACATGTCAGGAGGTATTGGACCAGTCAGGAAATTTTCGGACACGTCTATGAAGTTGACCTCGGCCCACGACCCGAGCTTCTGAGGAATGGGGCCCGTCAGGTTGTTGGTGTAGAGGGATAAGTTGACCAGGTTCTTGAAATCCCCTAGCTCGGCCGGAATTTCTCCGGAAAATTGGTTCTGGTAAAGCTGGAGGCTCTTGAGCTTGTTCAGAAACCGGATTTCGGACAAATTGCTGCGCAGATTATTGGACGAGGCATCCAAAAACTCTAGAGTGGTCAGGTTTTTCATTCCGGCAGGCAATTCCCCAGTTAAGCTGTTGGAATAGAGCTCCAGCTGCCGTAGGCTACTCAGTTTGGTAATCCCTCTGGGGATCTCGCCGGAGATGTAATTCATCGACAATTCCAGATCAATCAGCCCAGCGAGGTTCCCGATTTCTTCTGGGATTTCGCCCTCGATGCTACAGTTTGACAGGTAGAGCCGCTTCAATTGGGTGAGATTCACGACCTCGCGAGGGAAAGGGGTCCGATCGAACGGGTTGTCACCGATGCTCAAAACCTGGAGATGGGTCATATTACTGAGGGATTTCCACGGGAAAACTCCCGAGAATCCGCTGGCGTTGGCGTACAGATAGACCAGCCCGTCCATGGCGGATATGTCCGGGAAAGGGCCGGAGAAGAAATTGTTCCCCAAATCCAAGTACTTGAGGGAGGAGCAGTTGTTCAGATCCTCCGGGACGCGGCCGCTGAGCTGGTTCCAACCTAGGGAAAGCTTCTCGAGCGACTTGAGCTGGCAGATGGAGTTGAATGGGACCGCGCCGCGGAGGTTCTGCCTCGAGAGGTCGATTCCGGCAACGAAGCCGCCGGGAGAGCAGGTGATTCCAGGGAATTCGCAGGCGATGGCATCATCGGGTACCCATGAATCGAGTACCGATTTGGGGTTCGAGTGTTGGAAGGCGGCTTTGATTTGGAAGAGGGTTTGGAGGTCGTCGGAGGCGGCGACGGAAAGGAGGCAAAGAAGGTTGAAGACGACAACTGCCGCCATGTAAATGGTGGTTTTTGTGTGGGGACGAAATTATTTAATTTAATTTTATATTATGATTTAAATTCGAGAAATAAGATTTTTTTTTTTTTTTTTT